TTTGGGAGTTTGATTCACCAGACAAATTTGCTTGACCAGCCCGCCAAATCATTGCTGATTCAACAGCTATAAGCAAATAGGTGAGATCAATTAGGGTCACGTCGTGGTCCATCATATAGTACTCTCTAACGAACTCACTATATGATTCAGGAAGTGACTGAAGAACCCAGTCAACAGCCAACTCACTTGAAATCTCGACACCCAACATGTTTAACCTATCAATGTGTGACTTCATCTCTAAGACGTGCGCACACACAAGTTTCCCATCTTCGTGTTTACTTGCCAAAAGGGCTTGAGTGAGCTTGAACTTTTCAAGCCTTTGAACTTGTGGGTTAGGGAGAACAATTGGAGGAGGTAGAGGAAGTGAAGCATGACTCTCATTTCCTTGATCGTATCTCAGAATGTCATCTTCATTTGGAAAACTTGTTCCAAAGGATTTGGGAAGACCATTGTAAGATTCAGACATCTACAAAACGGGAGAAAATTCAAGTTAAGTTGATTAGAATTCTTGATGCAACACCCAAATGAAACATCAAGCTAGGATCCAACACAATACTCTACAACCTAGAAGAGGGATGCCGTAATCTAGTTGCAGAATATTTGAAGGTAGGTAAATGACGATTTACCAATTTCCACCATGAAAAACAAAAAGGAAGTTTAAGTTTTAAATGAATTGAAATTCCTAGATCTTTAGAGATTCATTGAACTTTTCAATGGCATGTTTAATCTCGATTATGCCCTACTATTTGTGACTGGGATGCCGAGGATCACAAAGAAGGTGTGAATAACCATACGAATCACATGGTGCACCCAATACTACTATCACCTAATCAATGTGCCGGTTAGCCACACACGCTCCATTGATCTATGATAAGCATCGAGCCACCCTTCGCCACCAATATCATCCCCAAATTAGTGTGCCGGTTAACCACACACGCTCCACTAACGTTTGACAAGGGTACGAAGTGTAATTCCATGGGTTAGCATACAATTTCACATTTTGCCTAAAGTAACTATGATTTGAGAATTTGAAAAAGCATTTAGTTACTTTGTACTTCATTATACTTATAATGGAAGGTTTCTGTCCTATCCCACCCGTTCGGCTAACGACCCTCCACTAGTCAAGAGTGTGGTGGGTAAGAGTGGATACTCATTCAATCGCCATTTTATAGGCAATTTCCTTAAACACCCCTTATAGACCAGCTTCGTGAATGAGGCCTACTAACGGTAAGACTGATTGTTTACTCATACATATACAATATTAGACTTTTAATGTTATATATAGTATATGGTGTATTTTACACTTTTAAAATACTAGGTGGTTTAATTTAGTAAAATTATACCTTTTAATTTGATTAAATGTAAACCAAAACTTTATGGGCCTATTAAATCACTTTTAATTATACACTTTAATTAATTAATAAAACCATAAGGGTGTGATTTGAATTTTTTCAAATTACTAGGGTTTTAGAATTTAACATTTCAAAATTAAACTTTTAATCAACTTTTGAATTCCAAAACTTGAGGGCAAGTTTTGAAACATTTCAAAACATTAGGGATCAAACAACAAATAATTCAAATTAAACAATTAATTTCATAATTATCTATATTTGACCTAATCTTATTTTAGTCATTAGATAATTACCAAATAACTTTAAATAATCCATATTTATCACATAAATAACCAATATTTAAAAGATTTGAAATTATCTATTGTTTTGGCAAAGATAAACATATAATTAAGATAAAATTCGGATTTTAACTTCATAAAACAATTTAAGCATCAAATCGAAGTCAAAACAGCAGCTAAATCCCAAAATACCCTCTGCCTGATGCAATGACTCGCCGAGTTAGACCTGGACTCGCCGAGTAGGGCCAACTCGCCGAGTCCAGATACTGACTCGCCGAGTTGAGTCGGGCAGAGGCAAAAAAACTCGTTTTTCAGCAAACAAAACAGTTAAGCATCACATACAACTGAAACCAATCAAGCCTCTGATACAACTGTTGGGTTTTATGCATAAGAACAATCCTATGTGCTCATACAACCCCTAATGCTTGGATCTAGGTTTCTCTATTGTACATGCTTTGAATCCAAGACTAATAAACTTTGATCTAACATATTATGAACTGAATTAGGGTTTAGAGAATTACCTTTGATTGTTATATAAATTCCTTGGTTGGATTGGCTTCAAAAGCTTAGTGCCTCAAGTGTTGCACCTCTAATGGAGTCACAAACACCTTATGCAACTTGGATGAAGAGGAGAAGAAAGGAGGCTGCCCAAAAATGACTAGAAACCCTAGAGAATCAGTTGTCACCGTTTTTGGGGCCTAAGGGGTCCTTTATATACTTGCGTGGGCTGCTAGGGTTTCAGTCAAAACCCTAATGGACAGCTTAAACTTTAAGCAACCCATGGAACCTTCTGGATAAGGCTATGGACGAAAATATGATGGGCTCCCATCATAATTTCGTTCACCCCTTATTCCTTTAGCATTCCTTAGCCCAATAACACAATTATCCAATAATTGCAGTCCAATCCCCTAAATTTAATTAATCTCTTTTAGCCACAAAATTAATTCTTGACTAATATTAATTAAACAATATGATTTCTCCTTTAATATATTATACTCATAATATATTAATAAATCATATTTAAACCTTTCTCTCCTTAAATCATCCTACATATTGCTATGGTGAAGGCAACCCAAAAGGACCATGCTCATAATCGGGTCAAGTACATACCAAAATAGTTATGGACGTAGACACTAATCCAACACTAATTTCCTATTAAGGAAAGTAGTTTTAACATCCATCTGACATCCTTCAAAGTCATGATAAGCAGTTACGGAAAGCATTAACCTAATTGAATTAATCTTGACAACTGGTGAAAAGGTTTCATCATAGTTAATCCCTTATGTTTGACTAAAGCCCTTTGCAACCAACCTTGCCTTGAAGGTCTGTACATTACCATCCATGTTGGTATTCTTTTTGAAGATCCATTTGCACCTTATTGTCTTTCGGCCAGGCATGTGATCAACCAAAGTCCATACTTGGTTATACATGGATTTGATCTTAATATCCATTGCCTCTTTCCATTTTGCAATCTCAGGGCCTTCCATCTCTTCCTTATAGTTAGTCGCCTCATTCAAATTTATCAATGTATTATCACTTATAAACATGTCCCCATCTATTCTTATAAAAACCATAAAAATTTGGTGGCATACTATCTCTACTAGATCGATGGAAAGATAACAAATTGTCAATGGACTTAACATGTTCAACCTCAGAGAGCTAGTTTCATTAAAGGTTACTTCATTGGATGACTTTTGAATTTCTTCAAGATCAATCGTACTCACAATCTTATTTGAATATGAGCTCTCTCACACGAAAAAAAAATCCTTTTCGAGCTACAAATACCACATTCTCACTAGGTCTGTAAAACAAGTGCCCCAAAGACTTTTGGGATAGCCAAAGAAAATACATCTATCGGTTATGGGTTCTAGTTTATGTTGGGTCTCACGCCTAACGAGAGCCTCACAACCCTAGACCTTGATATGTACAAGCGAGGGATGTTTCCCTGTCCACATATCATGAGGTGTTTTGGCAACCTTTTTGATAGTAACAAGATTGAGGATATGGGCGGTTGTATTTAAGACATACCCCCAAAATGATATAAGGAGAAAAAGTCGACTCAGCATGGAACTAACCAAGTCCAACAATGTTTGATTACGCCTTTCAGATACATTATTAAGATGTGGAGTCCTAGGAAGTGTCAGTTATGAAACAATTCTACATTCCTTAAGATAGCCGTTGAACTCGATACTAATATATTATCCACCTCTATCAAATCGGAGCATCTTTATCTTCTTGTCTAATTGATTCTTTACTTGGTGCTTAAACTCTTTAAACTTTTCAAAGGTTTCCGATTTATGCTTTATTAAATTGATATACCCATATCTACTATAATCATAAGTAAACGTCATGTAGTAGTAATTAGCATCCCATGTAGTGGATCTGAAAGGACCACATACATCAATGTTGATGAGGTCTAACAATCATTTACCTCTTTCACAAGTACAAGTGAAACGTGATTTATTCATCTTACCCAATAAGCAAGACTCGCATTCATCGTCTGATTTAAGGTCAAATGATTCTAACACTCCATCCTTTTTGGAGTTGGGTGATGCGTTTCTTAATAATGTATCCACGACGACAATGCCATAAACATGCATTGTCTAAACCATTAGAAGTATCAATACTATAAACACTATTGCCAAGTTCATTCACACACACACACACACACACTCACACCAGTTTCATTTACACTATTAGAAGTATAAGCTTTGAAAATAAATGCACCATTTTTATAAAATAAAATTACACCGTCATTATCATCAAAACCATAACAATATCATTGTCTAAATAAAACATGAAATGAAATTATGTTTCTTATCATTTCTGACGAATAACAACAATTGTTCAAATAAAACCTAACACTATCAAATAAAAGCCCATTAGTTCCAATCCTAGTAACAACCGACTTTCACCTATTCCCTATAATCATCCCCATGATCAGGTTCAACTTCCCATGCTCGACCTCTTTACTTTCCTTTAGTCCCTGCATATCCGAACAATTGTGGAAACCACATCCCATATCAAGGATCCAAGAGTTTGAAATATAAATGTTACTAATTTGAATAGATTACATACCAGAAGAGTCAGACACATTTCCCTTTGCCCCTCTCACTTCTTGTAGGTACTTAGGGCATCTTCTCTTCCAATGCCCCTTTTGGCCACAATGAAAGCACATATCTTCTTTCGAATCACCGATAGGAGGAGCATTAAAGTTGACATTTCCCTTTGACCCACTGGAATCTCCAATGTGGCTTTCCCTTTCAAGTTCGTTTGGGAATAGGCTTTTCTCTTCTTTCCCTTGCCTTATTGAATAGCCATGATTGGGGCACTTGCAACACTGTTAGAATGACACTTCTGCATTCCAATTTCAGCTGTTTGCAATAGATTATGCAACTTAATCAATATGGTCTCAGTATTGATCAAATGATAGGTCAGGATGAACTAAAATAATGATGAGATATGTGATTAACTCTTAACTAATTATTACTATTTCCAATTAATATATTAATAATTCATCTCTCTCTCTCTCTCTCTCTCTCTCTCTCACACACACACACACATATATAATCAATCCAAGTTATTTCCTGATTATGAGGATAAATCAAAAAGGACTTCACTGTCATTTTTTTAAGATTATATCAATTTAATTAAGATTTTAGACACTTAATCCAACATGAGCAACTAATGAAAAGGGATGCGAATTGAAATTCAATATGTTAAGGACAACAAAAGATGAAGATGCAGGACAGAACACGAAAAGATGTGAATTTTGAGTTGGGAATTAGGCATATTTAAAACTTCAGTCCTAGTATCAACAATCCCTCACCAAACTCACCGTGGTCCAACTCGTGGGTCCACTAGTGTATTGTCTCCGGATAACCAACACATCATGGCTCACGCACACATGGAGTGTTACATGTCTCACTCTCTAAAGTGATTAATTGGAAATCAAATTTCAACCCATTAATTCCTCCACAGTTGATCGTTGACTTGAAATTGGAGGTTGAGCCAGAAGGAACTTTCAAGGTGCGATCCAAAAAATCGGGCATTTGAAACACATCGAGAAGTGTTGATCAAGAAGAAGGGATACCAGTTTCATAGACCACATGGGAGGACTAGAGACTATTCACAACACTTTGACTTTTTTTTTTTTTTTTTTTCACCATGAGGACAAGTTGACTCTTTGAGGCAAATGTATTGCTAAGCTCAAAATAAATTGTACTTATTCTAGAAGGGGTAAATTGGGAAAGCTGCCAAACCAAATCGATTTCCGGTGGCTTGAAGAGCAACTTAGTAATAGAGGTCTTTTGCAGTTTGTTATGTGAGTAGTACTTACTACGTAGTGGGAAGGGAGAAAAATCATGCATTTTTAAAATATCAATTATTTTGTTTTGGAGAGACTAGCCTCTCGAATTGCTAGAAACTTTAGGGTTTATCCCAACTTTCGAATTTAGTTGACATTTTCATTCAAAAAGATACATATTTATTGTAAAAAAAAAGGCTTTTAAAAATGTTAAGTTGATAACCACAGAGAGAGTTTATAACAAGAGTTTTTTTTTTTTTTTTTTTTTTTTTTTTTTTAATAAATAGAAGTTAGTGGACAACAGTCATGACAAAAATAATAATTATTTAAAAGTTAAAAAAATATCAGAGATGCCCTAACTAAATTAATAAACAAACCAAATTTAGTTGCAACTTGCAAGACATTAAACCTTTGTCATCATATCCCGGTGGATTGTCGTGAATATACCTTTTGTTTCACCTTCAAATCCCCGTTAGATAAAAGACATTAATACCAAGGTTTACTTGAAAAGATTGAATGGATAAAAACCCCATCGAGAAAGATCCACTAGTAAATGATCCAAACTTACAACGCAAGAAAATGGAGAAATACAGATTATAGCAAATTAGAATGATGATGGATATGACAAAATAAGCTTGTATGGCAACTAATAATACATCCATTTATTGCATAGAGAACAATCTCATCAGAGTTTGCATCCTCAATATTACACAACAAGTCAATATACTAACATTAACAATAATAAAATTAAAATCTAGTTAATTAAAAAGATACATTACCCGCTAACATTTTCAGCAGATCCATCATTTTCTTCATAATCCCCTTGTCTTACTTTTGTAATCTCAGCTTGTGCTCTATCAAGAATCTTCCTTTTCTGCATTTCCAAATCCTTATGAAAATCCATCCTCATCTTCTCCAACTCTATCATCTGCTGTATCTTCCCATTTTCAATCTTCTCATATATCTCACTAAATTTGTTAATCGATTCCGCAAGCAATCTGAATGATCCTCCACCTCCACCACCACCACCACCGCCTCCTTTAAATTTCAATTTCTTGGGCGGAAGCAAATCGGAATCATCATCACCCTCTTGAGAATCTGAATTCCCACCACTATCCCTCATATCATCAACCCCATTTGCAGGATTTAGATTATCATTAGGGTTCATGTAAGCATTCTCCCCTGATAATAACATATCCATCTTTTTAAAATATACCCATTTAGTATTTACACCTCTGCTTCCTGTTAAACTAGCTTTCTCCTTTTTGTACTTCTTCTTCAATGTATCCAAACGGTTTCTACATTGAGAGTCTGTTCTTTCTATCTTTGATTCTTGAGAAACTCTGTCTGCAACTTCTTGCCATTCTTCAGACCTTAAACTCTTTCTTCCACATTGAAGAAACCTTTCCCCCCATGCATCTAGTAACACAAATGTCTCGTGTTCACTCCAATCTGTAAGTGTGTTTCTTCCACCAAATGATGGTTTTGGTGGGGCCACTGATGATGGAGGTGCCACTCGAGGTGAAAATTCAAAACTTGATAACAAGCTCTTCAATTTCCGCTTCTTTGGATGTCTTTGGAGGTTAACACTGGTCATTCTTCTGGTATTATCATCACCATCATCATCATCATCATCGTTATCATCATCTTCATCATCATCATATTGATGATGATGATCATTATCATTTCCGTTCTGTTGAGTAGAAGTGCCATTCATTTCGTTATCACCAACATCTGTTTCTTCTTGTTCTTGTTCTTGTTCTTCATCATCTTCTTCTGCTTCGTCATCATCTTCGTCAGCATACTTTCCAACAATCTGAGACTGTGTGAAACCTTGATTCAAACCATAATTGGGTCTGTAGTTAGAATCTTCCTGAGTGTCAGCCATCAAGCGATAACAGCTCCCAGTATTCAGCGAGAATTAAACTGCAGAAATGAAAGATCGTATAATTCAGCAATAATTATACTGCAGGACATGATTCGATAAAACCCTAGATAATATGCATTTCTCCTGCCCAACATCAATATGAGCTCAAAATAATCAAATTCATCGCCTCTACGAAAAAAAAAAGGCGAATTCAATTTCTAGACAGGGATATCTTCTCTCAGAATTAGCAAGAATCCAGTTTTCAGTAGAAAAAAATCGATTCTCGAAAGGAAATAATTTAGGCCTGTTAAAGAACCATACACCAAAAAGACCACTACAGGTTCCAAACAAGTAAGTCAAATCTAAACATCCTTCAATTTCAGTTCATTGATAGAAAAAACAAGCTACAAATGAAAAATTACCTCGATTTAATGAAATTCTATACAGGGAAAGAGTAAATTTGGGATTTTTCTTCGACCAGACACGGATCAAGAAACATAAATACCCGGATAGAAACCCTAGATTCAACCTGTATGGGAAATCAGAGAATAGAAATTTGATTGTGGTTTGGGGATATGCAAGAAATTAAGAAAGTGGACAGTGTGCATCGGGAAGGGATTTATATTGTAGGCCGCGAGGCTGTAATGTTCCGGGTATATGGGCCCTACCCGCATTAGATGTGGGTCTCATCCACTGTGGACGGTCCGAATGGACTTCATATATTCTTCCATTGCACCTCATTCCTATGAAATAGATTAATGCCTAAATCTTAATGGAGTTTTGTACCAAGATGACGTCTTTTAGAAAAGCACTTACAAATATATTGTGGTTTTAAAACTATCTGCGAAAACATGCTTAAAAACGTTTTTATGTGGAGTGCGGATCCACATTCTCTTATAAAAATTCGAAAAAAGAAACCCACTTTTTCAACGAAGTAACCATTTTAACCTATTTGATCGCCGGAAAGTTCACATTTGTGGCCGGAAATTAAATAGTTTACTTGTTAGAAAAGAGGGGTAAAAACATTTGGAAATTCTGAGAACCGTGTATATCACTTTCAGATTAAAGTATTTAGGTGGTACTTTCAATCTTTAATCAGAAAAGAGATAAATAGAAGAGAGAATGTTAAAACTGATTTCGAAATGATCATATAACAAGAAAATTTTTATGTCATAAAACTGCCACATGACAGTTTTATGTCCGGGTCTAGAATATGGATCACAAAATCGGGTGCATTTATCGAAAATCCGGATTTTTGGTGCATTTTTAATACAGTAACATAACATATATAAAAATTTTCGCGCGACCCCAACTAGGGGCTCTGCCCCTTGGATCTTGCCAGGGGCTGCCGCCCCTTGGACCCCGCTCTTAGAGGCACTGCCCACGGATCCCCGTTCATTAAGGGGTCTCTCCCCTAAATAACAGTGTACTTTCAACCAAGACAAATTTAAACAAATGTGCACTCCACACCATCCTAACTTGTTCAATATTTATCAAGGTGACATTGATCAACAAATTAATCATATTACACTTAAATAATGTTAGTGATGTAAAATCACCAACAAACCTCTCCCATTTAAGTGTAATCTTGATTAACTTAAAGAGTAAATTACATGAATGGTCCCTATAGTTTGGGGTAATTTACACGTTTGGTTCCTAACTTATTTTTTTAACTCGGAAAGTCCTTAATGTTTGTTTTTGTTACACGCTTGGTCCCTACTGTTTGTTATTATTTTGTGCTTGGTCCCTGACTTACCTAAAAATATTATTACTTAAATAAGGAAAATTGGTGGGGTAGGTGAGGAGAGTGGGGTTAGGGGTGTGTTTATTTAAATAAATTAAAAAATCAATGGCAAAATAGTCTTTTTAGGTAAGATAGGGATCAATCACGTAACAAAAACAAACAGTAGGGACCTTCCGAGTTAAAAAAATAAATTAGGGACCAAACTCGCAAATTACCGTAAACCATAGGGACCATTCGTGTAATTTACTCTAACTTAAAATAAAACCATAACAACAACAAACTGATGCATAAATAAAATATTGTGACGATTGAATTTCAAATTAGTATATTACTCATTTCAAATATTCGAATATCAAGGTGTCACTAATGATTGAACCCTTTCTATTCAAGGTGAATACATGAAGATGATATACACAACAGTTTATATTCTCATGAATTTTAACTTAACACTATATTTTGCTAGCTTGTGTCCTATCCTTCAATAAACATATCAAAGCCAAATTCCAACTTCTTGAAGCAGCTAAACTTCATGCTTATATAGGTAGTCCTTTTATTCTTGCACATGTAAATGCAATTTTTCAAAAGAACTATTAAGAAATACAATTTCAACCCCCTTTACTTGTAGTACTGAACACATATCTTGGGATGATGTAAATAATGTGTTCCAATCATCAAATATCAAGCTTTCCACATTGAATTCAACATCTAACATCACATTAGATGGGAATTAGGTATCTTAATATGAAAGATTTTAGGCGAACTTTAAACCCATCTCTATGACCGCCTTGTGCAGAAGATATCTTGTTAACCGTTTGGTTTGATGATTGGTTAAATTCAACTGAGCTCTCACAAACTCCACAGTTATCACACCAATCATGATGAGCTCACAAATCATGATATGTCTAACACCTAAGTGTCTAGACTTCCCATTGTATACTTGACTATAAGCCTTAGCCAAGGTAGCATCATTAACACATCTTATAGAAATGGTAGATATCAGTTTAGACCATAATGGAATTTTATAAATCAAAATCCTTAGCCACTTAGCTTCCTTACCAGCAGCAGGCAATGCTACAAACTCAGACTCCATAGTTGATTTAGTAATACAAGTCTGTTTCTTGGATACCCTAGAAATGGCTCCTCTTCCAAAAAGAAATGCACAAACACTCGTAGAAGAGTGATCTTCTAAGTTGGTAATCTAACTAGCATCTGAATAACCTTCCAAAATAGAAGGATATCCACTATAAGTCAAATCATAACCCTTGGTTCCTTGCAAATACTTGAATACTCTACTCACAGCTTGCCAATGATGTTAGTAGGATTACTAGTATATCTACTAAGCCTTCCCACAACATATGTTATATCAGGACTAGTACTAATCATGACATACATTAGACAACCAATAGCCCTTAAGTATTCAAGTTGAGACATTGGAGATCCTTTATTAGGTAGAAGCTTAAGACTAGGATCTATAGGAATGCTAATAGGAGAACAATTCTAAAAGTTAAACTTTTTCAATATCTTCTCAATGTAATGAGATTGAGAAATTGAAATCCTATTGTTTCCTTGTTTAATTCTTATACCAAGAATTACCTTAGCCTCTCCCAGGTCTTTCATTTCAAAACTAGATGATAAGAATTTCTTGGTTTTATCAACTTCTTCTAAATCAGTACCAAAAATCAACATATCATCTACATATTGACAAACCATGACTCCTTTACCAGAAGTATCAAATTTTCTATATACACACTTCTCAGCTTGGTTTAATGCAAAACCATTAGAGAAGACAACATCATCAAACTTTTGATGCCATTGTTTTGGTGCTTGTTTCAAACCATAGATTGATTTCTTCAACTTGCACACTTTTTGTTCATTTCAATACATCACAGACCCTTCAAGTTGTTTCATGTATATTTCCTCATCCAAGTCACCATTCAAGAATGCAGTTTTCATATACATTTGGTGAATCACAATATTATGTATAACTACAAGAGCTAGTAATAATCTAATAATAGAAATTATGGAAACAAGAGCATAAGTATGAAAGAAATCAATGCCTTCCTTTTTATCTAAAGCCCTAAATAACCAATTTGGCTTTATACTTAGCAATTGTACCATCCAACTTCATTTTTCTTTCGAGGATCCATTTACATTCTAATGCCTTGCAAACATGAAGTAAATCAGACAATACCCAAGTATTGTTATGCATGATAGAATCAGTCTCATCCTGAATTGCCTCTTTCCAGACATAAACATCCCTAGAAGCCATAACTTCACCAAAAGTCTTTGGATCCTCCTCAATATTAAAACAATATTGATGTTGAGACACATTCTCATCCCTTGTTCCTTCAACTAAATATAGTTGAAAAATCGTATGTTAGAACTAAGTTCTTTTAGGATCGTATGATTCTAAGCAAGATATAAAATAAGAATGTAATAAGAACACAAGTATTGCGCTGAACATGTCGAATGATTAATGCAATAACACCACAAAAGAGCTCGATAAAGAACTTCAATATGTAGAGGCGTTTAGGGTTACAAGAATAAACGTAATGAAAAACTTGTTAATATACGCATACATGCATGCATATATATATATATATATATATATATATATATATATATATATATATATATATATATATATATATATATATATACTATAACCCTAACAATTAATCTAGATAACTAAGTAACTAATCTAGATAGACACGGATGGATAGGCCCAATCCGGATACAAAATACTCAGCCCAAGACGCAACAAAAATATACTCAACAATCTCCCCCTTTGCATCCTTGGAGCAGAAACTTCATTCCTTCTTAACAGTAGAAGGCTTCTTCACTATTTTAAACACCTTCGGTATAATGGCCAGAACATGATGTCGAAACGTAATATACCACCGAAGCATGTCTGTGAAATTCTTCTTGTCAGTGACCGAGTTCTTCTTGCATCGATGTATGATATTTATGATATGCTCCAAGCAATCTGTTGAAAACAGATGCTTATCGACCAAAGCGAACATAAACTTGTGTCTATCACCTTTAGTGAACATAACTGTCAGATTTGTTGAATCAATTTGCCCCAATTTCATTTTGTTCACGTCACTAGGCTTAGACGTCGGCTTCACAGTTGGCTTTCTGTTCATAACCTTAGCTATCTCCTGATCCATGGTTGCTAGCTCAGGAATATAGGAGGCCAACATTCTTTTAATATGTTCAAGAATCGGCTCATACTCCCTGGGATTAGAGAGCAGAATGTTGTATAGCAGAATCCAGT